TATATATATATATATATATATATATATATGTGGGGCTGGACATGCTAATAGGTTTACAATATATATATTTTGGCCCTGTCCTGTTTTATTCTCTTTTTCGCCATTTATCCACCACACAACCCTTCCATCATTTGCCCTGTCTACATTCCTCCCTCCTATCCCTGACTTCTACCTTTTTCTCTGTGTTTGTCCCATCTTCTCAGTTGAATTTAACAGCTCTGGACTGGACTCAGCTGAGTAAGAAGGAGTGTGTGAAGTACGGAGGCTCACTGCTGGGAAAATCCTGCAAGTATGTTCCAGATCTTGCTCTCATGTCCTTCATTTTGTTCTTCGGGACCTACACTATGACTGTCACTCTGAAGAAGTTCAAATTCAGTCGCTACTTTCCCACAAAGGTAAGACCAGGGAAGTTTCTTTTTTTACTCTTTCTTACTAAACTCTTGCAGAAACACAGTTTCACACTTGCACTTTTCTGTCTTTCACTTCGGCCTTAGTATCTTGGACATGTCCTTTCCTCTTTTTCTCTGTTATGCCAAAATCCTTGAGACTGACCTTAGCTAGTTTAGGATAAAAGTTATCTCTATTCTTTATTCTGCATGATCCTAGTAGCTGATCAGTAGGATCTTTAATTGTGTTAAGAGTAATCAAAAGAGCTTTATACCTGGAGACTCATGAAAGGTCTGTAATCATGCATGTGACACACTTTATATTAATATTTATTTAAAGCATATATTTATGCTGTACACTTTTTGATATATGACACATTTTTAGAGAAAAGTTCCTAAATTGTTGAATCATTTGACCCCGAAGACTGGAGTAATGGCAACTTTGCAACCACAGGAATAAATTACATTTTAAAATATATGAAAATAGAAAACGATCTTATCTTAAATTGCAATGTTATTAAACAACAACAACAACAACCTTGAAGAGGAAAGGACATGTCCAAGATAATAACAAGGTCGAAGTGAAAGACAAAAGTGCAAGTGTGAAAATCAGTTTTTTAAAGAGTTTGTTTTTTTTGCAAGAGGGATTTTTTTTTT